AGTGGTGACCAAAAACAGAGTGGAACCTGGTCTGCTGATCCTGGCTCTTCTGGCATAGGCAGGTTTTCCTCAGCAAGTCAGAGAGCTCTCAAAACTATAAAACCCTCATCTGTAAAATGGGAACAAGAAGAGACCTACCCTTTGTAGAGTCTCGATGAGAATGAAAGGTAATACTGCAAATAGAGGTTCTGCAGGGCATATGGTATCTGGAGGATGCTCTATAAATGTCATTGACGATGAAGATGATGGAGGAGGCCGCTGTTAACACTGCAGTCTTCATATTATGACCTCACTTCCAAGCTCAAGACCCCATTTGCAAGGCTGCTTCTGACTCAAAGCAGTATTCCTTCTATTATTCCAGAGAGAGAAGGAAAAGAGTGACTCACATCCTGGCAATGGTGGAGCTTCTGGTTGGTCTGTACCAGCCATGGAGAGGAGGGCCCTGAGGTGAAGGGGAAATATGAGCCCCCAGGGCCCAGTTGCCGGCCCATTGCCTTTCCTGGGTTTCTCCTGCATCCTGATCCCTAGCACCAGCCAGTAAGTTCAAATGAAAGCAAAGCCTGGCCCAGCTCAGAGTAATCACAGGGAAGTTACTTCCTCCTGGTGTCTCCCAGGTAGAGGGTGGGCAAAGGTGCCCAGCAAAAGCTACATTTCAGCCTGCACCTACAGATGACCAGAACTTGGACTTGGAAAAGAAGTTGGCCCTGGCTTTGGAAGCTGTGGAGGCAGCACTATTCCAGACCTAGCAAGTGAATACCAGGACTTCCAATCATGTTCCCAAGTCTCTGTATAGCAAGGGCCCCTCCGGGTGCACATATCCAGTTTCAGAACCTTTGAGGGGTGACGACACCGTTTGAAAAATGGGCCAAGTTCACAAACACGGCATCTCATGGAACAGAACCACAATGGCCCATAATCATATGGGGGAAAGGCTCAGCATCACAAGGACTCAAAGAAATGCACAGTAAAACAATGAGGGTGACAGAATTTATTGACGAACAGGCTGACAAAAACGAAAATATCAAGAGTTGTCAGGGTATGAGGAAGCAGCATTCCCACACAAGGCTGATGATAAGTGTGTAAATTACCACAATCTTTCTAGAAGGCAATCCAGAAATGTGTTTACCAAATGCCTGCAAAGTTCTTTGACAGAGTAATTTCACTTCGAGGAATTTAAATGAAGAAGACATATGCACAAAGATACTCATTTCAGTATGAATAGGGCTTGAAGAGCCAAAAAAAAAATTATAAACAACTTAAATGACTAGCAGTTAAAGGATACATTTTGGTTCAACCCTTAACAAAATACTACACAACCATTCAGATATTAAGCAGAGTATTTATTGATATGGCAAGATGGTCACAGCATATTATTTGGAGGAGAAAAAAAATCAAGTTACAACTGTGTAACTCCAAGTTACAATTAGTGAATAAAGACTGCTTCTTTGTAACAGAGTTGTCAGCTATAGAAATCCAGAAAGGAAAAAAGCACCTGGAAACACATATAAACATTAACAATGGTTCTCTTTGGTAAGATGACATATTTTTCATTTTTCTTTACTCTTTTCTAATGATTCTATAAACATACTTAAATGATAAGGACTTGGACCAGATGATTTATAAAGTTCCTGCCAACTCTGACATGTGGGGCATCTACGATTGATGGCCCAGGCGACTTCGAACAACCCATATTTAGTGTGGACTTAGTGTGTGGCACTGCCCACAGCTGCAGCCCTCTGCATTCCTCTCTCCGTGCCAAGCCCGCTGTCCAGCTGTCTCCCTGTCTGTAATGCATGTGCCTAGCCAAGAGCTGAGCAAAGGAACTCAGCACGGTGACAGGTGCCACAGGGGCACAAAGAGATGAAAGACACAACTCTAATTCTAGAATCTTACTGGGACACGGGACACACACACAAAGTGCTTGGTTGTATAACAAAGACTAAGAAAACCAGAGGGGAGAGAAAGCAGGGCGAGCAGGCTGGGAAGGCCTGAGAGAGGAGGCATGCAGGCAAGGGAGTGAGGGCATTACAGGCAAGGGGCAGAGCCTAAGCCAACGTGCAGTCGGCCCCGAGGCCTTTGGGATACATGCCCCAAACCTTTCCAAGAAACTTTCACAATCCCTGATCTGCTGAATTTCTGAACTTTGGCCTGAATGGGCAAAAGTTAAGTCTCCTAAACAAAAGTCCTCCCTCTATCTCGCCCTGGATTAGCCACCAAAGACAACCGAAGTCTCTTGCAGAAAGACAATAAATTGCCTTTTGATTAATTTTCCCCACCCCTTGCAAACCAGGGAGAGGGAGAGAGAGAGGGACAGGAAGGGCCTGGGGAGGAGAAGGAGTTGCAGGAACATCCAGAAATCTCACATGCAAAGAGCTCACCCCCACCACCTGGCCTTCAGCTTCTCTGCAGACACCACCAGCCCCATTTGACAAATGGAGGAAAGGAGGCAAGGAGAGTTAAAAAGGCTTGCTCCAGGATCACCCAGCCAGAGAGTGGGGAAGGCGACTCCACTCAGGCCTTCTGACTCCAAGTCCAGTGCTATTTCGAGGTAACACACAGGACCTGGAGTCAGGAGCCCTGGGTGGCTCTGTCACCCGCTGGCTGCCTGGTCCTGTACAAACCGCTCACTCCTCACAGCCTCTGTCCCCAAATGTAAAATGAGGAGGCACCAGGGGCCCGCCCAGGTCCTCTTCCGGCTGGGCTCCTAGCCTTCTAGGGGCGGCAGCAAAGCTCCCCCTATCAGTTACATTTCCCAAGTTGGGCCGGCAAAGATCACCAGAAGATCCTCAGCCTGTCACGTGGTTAAATAAAAAAAGCAAACGTCCCAGATTAACTTTCACTGCACTGCTTCTGCTGACACCTGGTTACCCAATTTTCTAGTTTCCTTGGGTGAAACATCCCTGCTGGGTAGGCCCGCTGGGCGGCTAAAGGCAAACAATTAATTACTGGTGAGCCAAAGTACACTGAAGACGGGGTTAAAACCTGGGGTCGGCCCCAGGACCGGGAATTCGCGCTACCGGTCCCTGAACAAGGGAGGCTATTTCAGGCCTCCGTCCCCCGCCGCTCCATCCAGAGGTTTGGAGACACCCTCAGCCAAGTGCGAGGGGCAGGGGACAGAACTTTCCCCGCGGCAACTCTACCCCCTGACAGTACCCGGCGGCCCCCAGTCCCGGACGGTCCACTGCGGAGGGGCTGGGGTTGGGGGTGCAAGTGGGGGCTCAGCCCCGCCTGCAGCGCAGAACCCGGCGCCCGGCGCGCGCCAGCGCCCGGTGACAGCCGCGGGAGCTCCACTGCAGTTTCGTCAGAGGTAAAGGTACGCGCCCGGCGCGCGCGGCGTGTGCACAGACAGACACACACGCGAGCGCGCGGCCCGCTCAGCACACGCGGCCCCCGGCCTGGACCCGCGCGACGATCGCCGCCGGCCGCGCGTCTCCTGCCCCCCACCCCGATCCCGCCCGGGCGCGACCGCCCCCTCCGAGGCCCCGCGGCCCCCCGAGGCCGGGACCTCCGCGAGCCGGCGAGGCCGGCCTTCCCCCGCGCGCGGCGGGCTTCCTCCGGCGACCCCCCAACCCCGCGCCGCGCCGTCCCGATCGCCCGCCCGGAGCCGCCGCTCGGAGTCCGCCCGGAGCTGAGTCTCGGCCGCCGCGTCCCCTCCGAGTCGCGTCTCCCCGCAGGGAGTCAGCTTGCAGCCTCTCCCCGCCCACCCGGTCCCATGACAGCTGCTGCCGCCCAAGACAGGCAGATTATAAGAAGCAGCAAAGTTTCCCTCTCTCCCCTCCCACCTCCCGCCCCCCCGGCTCCCCCTCCCCGCCAGTGTTATGCAAAACGAGCCGGCACCGGCGCTCCGACTCCAGGTACCCAGCCAGCCCCCGCAAGCCGCGCCCGGTGCCTCCCCGCGGCCCCTCGGAGTCCCGGCGTGCGCCCGCATCCGGGGTCTCGTCTCCGCTCCGCCGCCTCCCGGCCTCCCGACCCCCGGCCGCCCCAAGAAAAAGCCCTAACTCTGGGGCGAAACTTTACGCTTGCAACAGGCTTGGGGTGGGGAAAACAGGGGAAGGGGTGGGGGGCGCGCACACCTGGTGCAGGCATTTTCGGCCGCTGCTCCTCCCAGCAGCACCCCGCACACACCCCGTCTCCAAGTCACCCGCTTCCCAGCACACCAGCACCCCCCGCCGCGGCACACCAGAGCACCCTCTCCTGTCACGCGCGTGTCGCCGGCGGGGCTCCCCGCGCAGCCCGAGCCCGGGACGCCGCCTCGCCGTCCCTTCCCCCAGCATCGCCGAGCACGCACTGGGGCCGCGCGCCGCAGGGGGACCCAGACGCCCCCAGACAGCCCTTCCGCCTCCATCCGGCGGTGCTTTCGCCCCGGGGGGCTGCGCCGGGTAGTGAAACCGGTAAGGCGCTATCCCCGCCCGCAGGTCCACGTGCCCGCGGACCCCGAGCCCCTCATCCGGCAACTGACAGGAAACTCCGCGCTGCAGGCGCCGACCCGGAGCTGCGGGGGTCCAGCAGCAGCACCCCGGGAGCCCGAGACGGGAGGAGCGGGGGACACGGGCACGGGGGCAGGCGCCAGTGCCGGGGCCACAAGTCCACGTGAAAGTACGGCAGCAAGTGCCGGGCGCCTGAGGGCGCGCCTTCGGCACCCAGCCCCAGCCCGAGGGTCCCCCACACCCTGGCGCGGCTCCACATACCCAGTGAAGCGCGCTGCCCCCCACCCCCACCCCAGCTCTGCCGGCGGGGAGGGGGGCGCACTCCAGGCGACCATGGCTAGACCCTCCCCAGCGGCCGTAGCGCCCCAAACGCCCCGGCATGCTCGGGGGGCCCTCCAGCTCCCGGCCCCCGTGCAGGAGCACATCACGGGGCGCAAGGACGGGGGGCTCTGCAGCCTGGAACTCCCGGTTCCCTCCAATGTGCCCGCGGTCGCCGCACCGTCTCCGCGCCTGCGGCGGCGGCCCCCGCAGCTCGGCACCCCCAGCCCCGGGCCCGGGCCCCGCTGGCGGTACCTGCGCGTCGGCCAGATAGTTGAGGAAGAAGGAGGAGAGCTCCTCATCCAGCAGCGCGCCGCAGTCCTGCCCCGCCATCTTCCAGCCGCGGCTGCAGCGTGCGGCGGAGTCGGCGCCGGGCGGCGGGGGGAGGGCGCGCGCGCGCGGGCGGGGCGGGGGAGGAGGGAGCGCGGCCCGCGGGGGAGGCGGAGCTCGGGCCCGGCTGCCGCAGGGCCGCCGGCTGCGGGGGCGGGGCCGCGCGGGGCCGCGCCGGCCGGGGGTCGCGCCCGGGCTTTCCTGCGCCACGTCTAGCGCCCAGATCCTCGGCCGCAGCCCCCAGCCCTGAGGAGAGCGTCCGCAGCCGGGCGACTGTGCCCCAACCTGCAGCCGATCGCCTGCGCAGCAATGCAGGCAGCACCCCCCCTTCTTCTGCCGGAGCGAATCACGTTGCCTTAGCGCTGGGCGGGTCCTACGAGACAACCTGCTTCTGCACAGTTGGGGAAACTGAGGCCCGGGAAAACGGAGGACCTCGTTCCTGGGCACATTGCACTTCGGGTGTAGTAAGAAAAAGCTCAGGTCTGACTGCCCGCCAGGCCGGAGTTTCTCTCCCGGGTTGCAAGGCCAGAAAAGGAGGGATACCATAGTGGATGGTGGAGAAATCAGAGAAGGCTCCTCGGAGGAAGTGGCACTTTTATCTTTTTTTTTTTTTAATCTTTTCCTTGAAAGATGTCTTGATCCGTATTCTGTTAAGTCTCTCTTTTATCCTCTCTTCCCTTTTCCGGTAGCTCCTTCCTCCTCCGCTTCTCCTTAGCCACGACTGCCACCCCACCGCCTGACTAAACTCAGTGACTTCTCTTACCACAATCTTGAAGTGGCCAGGCTTCTGCCTGCGTCCTCAGAGCCGCTGATTTTCCCATTTTCTCACTTGAACCATCCCACAGTGAGCTCTTACACATAAGCTATCCTACTGCCCAGCGGCTATTCACCTAGAAATCACATCTTCAGGGTACCCTTCCCCACTGTTCCTCAGACTATCAACCACTGGCTTTTCCCACAACCCCAGGGTTGTGGGCTCACCTAGCTTTGCAGACCTTTCCTTTAAATCTCTTGATCACAGTTGCATTTGTTTTCGTGAAGATTTGATCTTTGTGTCTCTCCCTAGTACTCTGAGACCCTTGAAGCTGGGCTTGGACCTGCTTTTGCACCTGCTGTGTCTCCAGTGCCTAGCACAGGGTAGGTGCTTAATAAATAATGTATTAACTAAAGCGCCAGAGGATTTTGATCCCCACCACCACCCCGGCCGCCAAAGCCACACACTGTGTAGTATACCCAGAGTGAGGGTACACAGGGAGTGCCTGAGCCAGAGCAGGTCAGACCTCCTGACTCCAGCCTTAGATTCTCATTGTCATGCCCACTGTTTGCCAGGCAGGAGATAGGACACCACCTGGGTAAAGGCATGAAGGCAGAAAGATTTAGGTCTGTTTTATTGGTCAGACCTGCCTCTTACCCTCTTCCCACCCTGGACTCTCAGGGCTGCCCCACCCTGCAACTCAGCACCCCCCCCCCCCCCCCAGAAGGAAGCAGGGAGAGTCCCGGCCACACCTGCTCAGACTTGAACACCAGAGCAAGAGCTTCCTTCTCCAACCTGAGGTTCCCAGAACCACGGGCGTGATTTCAGTCTGTCGGCTTTAGGCCAGTACACTTTTAAGGAACAGTGAATTCCAACAAAGAGCCTACATCTTGGGCGGCAGGAGCCCTGAGTCCTGGTCCAGCCCTCTGCGTCTTGTTCCAATATTAGGCAGCTCCATATGTTAAGGACGGGTTTTGAATTCCTACAAATCTTTTAGGCTCTGGCCTCAGTTTCCTTATCTACATTAATGGGGATCAGAAAGTTACTCCATAGGGATGTTACGAAGAATGGGGAGATAATATATGTAAAGTGCTTGGCACGGGGCCAGACCTCATGGGGAAAATGCTAAACTGTAGTCTTATTTTCTCATCTGTGAAAATGGGGATAAAATACACATCCCTTGAAGGCACTAGCCAATGTTACTTTCCTTCCTTCTACCACTTAGAAGCTGCCGGCTACCTTGGGCTCCAAGAGCTAGGCTTGAATCCTGGTGCTCCCTCTTGTGTGCCCTTGGTCATTCGCATAACCTCTCTGAGTGTCAGTAGGCATCTGGTGAGCACTGAATGAAATCAACACATAAAATAAGTTGCCTGGCCCTACACCTGGCAGATAGGCATGCTTACCTCATTGTCACCATCACCCACCGCCACCTGCATCATGGCCACTAGCACCAGGGACTTGAGCTCTCCTTGGCCCGTTTTTCTGCACCTACCCATGGATGCCAGAGTCAGCCCGTAGGACACTTTCCAGAGATGTCCCTACCAGATCCAGCCACCTCGGACAGGTGTCAGTCCCCTTCCAGTCCCAAGGCCAGATTCAAAGTGTCCTCAAGGGCAGCCATCTCCAGCCTTGGCCTTATAGAGTTGCGGTGCCATACAGGACCTCACAGGGAAGACCTCAGCAACACTTGCCAAAGACTTTGTCTTTAAAACTCCAGTGTTGACAGAAAAACCACAAATTGCCTGACTTAGGGACTGTCTTACTAATCGGTGTGCCCTCAGAAAGGTGAGAAAGCCTCCGCTTGAGGTATCCAGCTTCCTTCCCAAAAGCATCTTATCCTAGGAATTCCTGCATCCCAGGCCACCCACAGAGTCTCAGCCTCATCACCCTGTCTAGCCCCTGGAGGAATGTGAAGCACTTCATTGAGATTAGAACCCCTCAGGAAACCTGAGGTGCTATGTGATCACGTGCAATTGCTTCCCCTCTCAGAGACTGTTTCCTGACCTGTGAAAAGCAAGAGCTGGGCTACATGAACCCCTAGGGAATCCCCAGCTCAGACAGTTCGGCAGTTTGTAGGATTCAGCCAAAATCAGCAGTCTTTCGGTACCAGACATGCGCCAGGTGCCCGAATTTATAACCTCTCAGGTCATTTTCAACAGCCCTGAGCAGTGGGCAGAATGATGTCCATGTGATGACTGACAAAACTAAAGCTTAAAGGGGTTAAAGTGATTAGCTCAAGACTAAGCAGTTAGAGACACAGCTGAGATGGGACCCCAGGTCTGTGCATAGTGCAAGCCCCAGGCCCTTGAAGGAGCTGAGAAAGACAGCCGTCTACTCCCAGGAAGCTGGAACGATGGCCCATGTCTTATTTTATGACTTCCAAGTGAAGGGCAATAATAATGCCAAACTTGAACTACATATGGCTCGACTCCTATCTTCTCTGCCTTTTTATTGGCCTCACCTCTCCCAAGATTAGTGTGAGCCAGCCCTGTGTGTGCCCCTTGTGAAGTCCAGGCTCCTCCAGCTACCGCGGAAACAGATACGGCAAGAGGAACCTATTTGACTTGAACCTCATAGTCACCAAATGCTCAAAAATTATAACGTCAGCATTTTCTCCCTTCCAACAATAGGAGGATGCTTTCTTCAGACAGTACAGCTGTGCGCTCTCAACTCTAGAGGGCACGAGGATCATCTGCACCCCGTGGCCAGAGGTTGCCTTTCAATAAGTCATCCGGGGAGACAGAAATCTGCCCTAAGTCGGCTCCCCTAGATGACTCTGCACCTTGAAAATGCCCGTCATGCAACAGAAGTTTAATGAATACCTACTATGTGCTGCCCACTGCCCTGGTGCCAGTGAACACAACAGCTGCCAGCCCTGCCCACATTCTAGTCCACTGCCCAGTAAATTTTCATTGGATGAGGAAGGGAGCTAGGACATGAGTCTTGATCATCACTGAGGTTACTTGCCAGCCACCCACACTCTGTGAGTCTATAACCCAGACCAGGGAGTCGTCACTCTTTTCTATCTTCAGCTTCTTTCCAGGCTTGTTGTATCAGGCTGGCCTGCCTCCCGCTCTCCTCCCACCCCGAATTCACTGGGCTGCCCCGCCCTGCAGCCCAGGAGGCAAGGACACCAGTCAAGAGGAACTAAAAAGTTCCCCACTTTACATTGTTAATTCTGAATGCCACCTCCTAGCTCCCTTTAACAACAGAACTGCAGAACCCAGGAGGGGTAGCACAGTCCACAGAAGCCAACACTGGGCAGGTGAGACAATGTGCATGAGGCCACGACCAGCCAGGACTGTGAGCCAGGGCTCCAGGACCGTGTGCAGCACCTGAGCAGCTTCCACAAGACAAACTTCTCAGGGCTGAGCTTGGGAATGAATGACATAGATGATGTCATTCAAGGGTCTCAGAGTTGGCCGTAGGGGAAGTGTCCCACAAACCAGCCATTCCCCTCTGTTAACCAGCACCCTCTTCCTCCTATAGGCTGACCTATGAACGCCTGTAGGGGCAGGACAGGACACAGTGCAGGTTTTCTGATCCCATGCAGACCGGGTAAAGGAGGAGTCAGAGTCCTCAGTAGTTTTGCAGGTTTTTTATTAGGGGTTCACCAGGCATATGGCAGGCAGGGGTGCTGGCTGGGGGCCTGGGAGGCCTGCCAGCCTCCCAGCCCCCAGCAAGTCTTCACTCTATCTGGGCTCTCTAGCGTTCGTTCTGCTGCTTCTCGGCTTCTGCTTCGGCTTCGGCTGCTACCGCTGCTGCTGCTGGTGCTGCTGGCGTCCCCGTGACGCCGCCCTTAAAAGCACAATCTTAGCTCAGCTGAATCCCATCTACCTATGCCCACACCCTATTCCAGGTGCCCGCCATCAGGCATGCATTCAGGACAAGGATCCATCATCTATCCTGATGGCGGAAGGGCAGAAAAGCCTGATATTTTCTTTACCCTACAACGCCCCAGTACATTCAGGGGCTACATTTCGCAAATCTTTCATATGCTACTTTCTCTTTCATATGCTACATGGAATGAAAGGGCTTCCAAATCAGCAAGTGAGGGACATTAAGCAGCAATCAAGTTAGCAATTAGTTTCTCATGTTTGCAAAGGCCATTTTGGTCGACACGCTTAAACCTTACAAATGACTACACATGCATGGAGATAAGGAAGGACTGGGCAAAAACACCCCAAGCAGGCAAGGCCCTCCTTGTGCCCACTTGGTCAATGGAGAAACCAAAAGCCCAGAGAGGTGAACATTACCAGAGAGG